GTCGTTTTCGTCGACAAAAGGAATAGCAAAATCGCTCTCCGCGTCTTCCCCCATTTTGTTCTGCGTCATTTCGTGAAGGACGCGTGGCTCTCAGCGTGGGTCATCCACGCGGAACACATTCGCGCTATGTGATTGGCTGTTGTCTAATCCCCCTTGAGATCTGTGGTGTTAAAAATAACTCGAGACGAATTACCTATGGAATAGGGTGTATATTGGGGATACCCTCTCTGTCCCCCTTATAGTCTCTTGATGAAAGCTATAATAATCGCACTTAAAACAAGTAAAATTATAATTAAAAAACTGTCTGGAATCTTATTTTAAAAACTATTCAAATCTTTAAAAACTATTTAACTATTAAAAACAGGTAAAAACTATAAAGAACAAAATATATTTGCGGGGGACTTATTATGAAAAAACTATAATTCAATTATTTAAAAGATATCATTAGTATTCATTCAAAATATTTCCCCAATTCTGTTTGGCTAAAAGCACACGCATAATTCTCCATAACCACTTACTGATGGTCAAATTTGGAAGAATTTTGTGTTTAACGAAGAAATGACGTCAAAAATGCAGCCTTCTACAGGTTAATGCACCGTTAACCTAGAAGACCTGGGGACGAGATTGAGTTGTTTTCGTTGTAAAAACTGAAATGGCGGACGCTTCACTCGTTTCAAGAGTAAGAACTACAGCTGGAACTAGGCGAAATAATGGCTAAAAACGTAGCAAAAACAGCAAGAAGACAACTCGGAGGGCGACATCTGCTATTTGGAGAATATTTGCGGAGCTGGACAAACCTAAACGTAAACTATCAAAGATAAACTTAAAGTTGATGCAGGTAAGCTCGTTTTAGCTATGTTTTTAAACTCGGAATTATTTTGAATAGTCAAACAATTATTGAATTCGGCTTTCGTATCATATGAAGAGTTATGGAGATCTCGGAGGGTGTTATCCGCCTAGGCCTACGGCCTAGACGGATGACACCCTCCTCGATCTCCATAATTCTTCATAAGATACTCAGATTCATTCATTAATTGTTAACTAATTTTATTCAAAATTTCCAATCTCTCTTTGCCTAGTAATTTAATTGGTATACAATTTCTTTTTGAAGCATTTTTAAAAGTTTTACTTTTCTAGAAGAAAAAGGTACCAATTTGTTGCTAACTAATTGTAATCCTTTTTCCATATAAAATCGTTACATTCAGCACGAAACAGGTTTATAAACTGCAAAAGAAGCAATTCCCATTTTTCATGTTAAGTTATTCAACAATTCTGACTTATATAGTGAGCTAATTATTCACTGTAATGAAACTTCAGTCGGTTTCTGAATCACTCTAACCTATCCTAGGATCCCGACGTGAAGTCGAAGTCTATGGTTAAGGTTGTAAAAAATTATAGTATTTTGTTTGTCAACTGAATGATCTATTTCAAGGCTTGTTAATTTCTCTTTTAAAATAGGCCAACTTCTATAATTTCGTATTGGTGTTAAAATAAAATTTTTGTCAGATTCAGATTTCTTTTGCACTATTACAAGATGTTACCACATACATTACAGTATATTACAAGAACAGGAAAAAAGGAAGAACAACGGATGACATAAATGATGAAAGGTGAAATGTGCGCAGTGACCAAAGTAGCGTAGCCTAGGCTTTCGAGTTGGTTGCGCCACGTGCAATTAACTGGCGTAGACATTTACATAAAACTACAATATAATTAATGGAGATTTTATAAAATAGCAATAGAAAGTGATATTCAGATAAGAGATGTTATTATACATTGTAATCACTATCTATCTTGAGTTCTCATTGGCTGGCTAAGATCCTACAGTTCATTTTGGAAATCAGCGCAACCTACAGATTACTTAGCTGACTAATCTGAAGGTTGCTCGCACGATGCATGATTTCCAAGAGCAACGACAATCGGTTCCGTGCGACGGTGTATTATCCAACTAGTGGTCTATTATCAATTGTATTATTAATGCTGCGTTCTGATTGGTTGAGCTACTACTAGGCTATATGTTATAACTCACTAGTAGCGAAAAGCGCCGGCTTTGAAAGCCAAAACAATGGCGGCTGAATCGCGTTTTGCTAGCTAAAGTTGTTTTGTCTCGATATTCTTGACCAACTAGTTAGATTTTACTAAAACAATTATTCCTCTCGCCCTCATGGCCTCTGAATAATTGTTTTATTATTTATTTCAAAACAATGTATGATAAAACAATTATTAGATTCGGGTTTTGTGATATCAAGAATAATCAAGTCTCGTTAAGTGTTATCAGCCTCAGCCTTCGGCTCGGCTGATAACACCGGACGTGACATCATCATTTGTTGGATATTGCGCATGCTCTTGCTCACCACCTTGCCGTCGTGGTCCCATCGGCGACGTGAAACTGGTTTGTTTGGCGTTGTGGCGAAAACGTGAGTATTTAACTTTCATTTCAATCAGGTTTGTTGCGTTTAGCAACCATAATTCTGCAGATTATCGTTCTTAAATTGTCCTTGTTTTCTTTGAGGCACATTTCAAGCTCGATTTCCAAGCTCTGTTATCTAAACTTACATCTTTGAATATTTCTATGTTTGCATGTCACAAGGTCAAGATCCAACTCGGCAAACAGCCAACCGTAAGTGAGCTCGACATGGACAAAATTGTCCTACGAGCCAAATAAAAGTATCCAGACAAAAAATATGAACTCCGATATTTTAATTGTGTGTTTTTAGTTCGCTCTTTTCGTTGGAATATCGTATAAATGAAATGCATTGAAAATTATATAGAATAGTAGGTAATACCATGTACTAACGTGGGAATACTGAAATAAAGTTGTTGCCGTTGTTGTTGTTGCTGCATGCAAGTATTTCCCGGTAATTATTTCAATACCAAACTAAGAATACGGTTCCTTGGTAGCATTTTAATGTTCCTGGAATTTGCAAGGCTTCGGCAAGCCTGTGGAGATTTTTTTTTTTTCAACAGGAAATTCTGCCTTGCACTTATCTGCATCCCGCATGTTTTTTAGCGTAAACGGATCGTAACTGCCCCGAGGAAAATCGGGATTTTTGGACTCATAATTTTCCCACAAAACGAGAAACTCTTCATCCGATACATGTTGTCTGCATAGCAAATATTTATTCTCTTAATTCTTTATGTGAAGCCATATTTTTCTCTTCGGCATTCTTCTAATTAAGGCGCCGTCCTTCTTAGTTTACTGCGATCTTAATGTTCGATTTTTGACGGGAAGCGACGGCTGCCTCAGTTCCAGGCTTTCTCTGCCAGTCCGGTCGCCGTCGCCCCGAAAACGTCTCCATCTTAAGTTCCCTAATGGGCGACGACGGCGACGGCTACGAATACGTCACATGTGACAGATGGCTGGAAAAAGGAGACCCACCCAACCATAATATTGTGAGAAACTCGAACCTATTTCTTTCTTTATACCGTTTTAATATATAAATCTTCAGGTAGCATTATAGTTAATAACATTAATTGATTTCTCCTTCCAAGGTAAAAAACTCAAGTGACAGACTTATCCGGCCGTTTTCCGAAACAATAAGATGGTTATTTGGGGCAAAACGAAGGTCGTGAGGTTTAAAAAGATCTATATTCTCCTTTCTGGCCACCCGTTGCTGCTCAGGGATGTCAGTTGCCTCTTTTCCGTTCTAAAGAATCCAATTCTCATATCCTCGTTCCCCCTGATAAGACATTGCTATCCTGTCTCCTTCAAAATCTTGTAACATCCTATCCGCCATCACAGTCGTCAATGTTTAACTACCTGCACAAGATTTCCGGCCATAATGCTGACGACTTTAACATTCAGGAGTCGACCTGAGCACTCAGCATTTAGATTAGATGATGTTCGAGTTACAAATATCTTTAAATCAAGTTATGAAGGCCATCTTTTCAGTTGAACAACTTAATGTAGGCGACAAAGATTTTGCCACTAGGATCACTTCAGTATAGCTCCCTTTTTCTCGGAAACTGGCGTCATTTTCCAAGAATAGGGACTTTAAGATCCAACGACGCGGAAGGCAACGAGGACGTCAAAAAAAACAATAGGTTTTATAAGCAAAACAACAACTTCCCACGTGCACCACGCTTTTCTGTACATTTCTCTGTCCGTTTTTGCACGACGTGAACATGCCTAATTTCGCGTTTAATGGAGGACGTAAACAAGCAACAACGAAATTTTATTTCTCCGTCTGTAATTGGATATGTTCCCTACGAATTCAACTCCAGGAGGGTTCGCCTACATTTGACAAAGTAAGTGCATGGGTAGGAATAATTGCGATAAAGACTGAAAGAACGCAAATTCACTTTTTAAGCGACGTTCTCATTGCCGACGCATCATTGGATCTTAAAGTCCCTAATTAGCACCGTGGTGTGACCTCTGTCAATGCCAGTATTATTGCGAAAATCACATTATAGTCCAGTGGAAACGAAGGAAACGAAAAATTGATAAAAGACTGAAAATACAGCCTTGAATGTGTATGAAGAGAAAATCAGCAAATTTGTAATCTTTTTCAGTTTCCGTAACCCGGCCATTTTCTTTCGGGGTTAAAGTTCGAGCCATAATTTTAATCTTTGTACATTTTTTCCTCTGCTGTATAGTTTTTGTTTTGTTTTGTTTTGTTTTTTTTATCGCTTTTTCCCTTTGACTTGTTTCCCTTTATTCACTGCTGATCCTTTACAGCTTTGCATGGATTTTGCGATAACGTATTTAATTTCTAGTTTAAAATGGTATGAGAGGATTCTTTTACTCTGGAAGTACGAGAAGTACCGTCTCATGCAGAGAAGGTCGGAGATCTTTGCCTTGAAAGCAGCTAAGGTTATAGAAAATCACATTAAAAATGTCGTAAGAGGAGAAAACAGAGGTTCTAAAGGACTCAGTATCACTGGACCTTGTTTTTTGTTAATTTGCTAGTTTGTTCGTTTGTTTGTTTGTTTTCAACATTGGAACATTTTTAACGTTGCAAAAGAACAAAATGATGCGAAAGGTAAGGTCGATCAATAGTGATGATTCAGAGGACTGGTGCAAAAAGGCAGACTTCAAGTTCAAGATGCTTCGGGGGGGAGGGGGGCTTAATCTGGGTTTTCCTTTGGCAAACCAGAGAAGTACTAAAAAATAAGTCATATGTCGCATAAAGACTGAAAATTAATTTGATCAATTACTACCCAGAAGGCGCAGCATTGGTTCCCTCTATTGGACGGCTTGCTATCAGTTTCCTTGTAATGTAACCTAGTATGTACATTATACTATATTTTTTATATATTTCTTTCGTAATATATTTATTCCCGACTGTATAATCAGACTTGCCTCTTTCCGTTGTTTAGATAATGTAAAAGTAGGCATTTTTGGAGGTCTAATTTTTTTAAGGCACAGATATAAAACAGCCTCTGAAAATGCATGGGAACTTTCAGTAACTTTTAATCGATAAAAGCCTTCAGTTTTCTGTGATCTTCATTTCCTTCAAGAGGATAACATTTTCATTTACATTCTAGTTGGTTCATTACGAAAGCAAGAACGAATTCAAACCTCCTTTTAGTTAATAAAAGTTTACACTAAAAATATGGGTCATTTTTTTCTCGCGAAAGGATTGAAAAAAACGGCGGCAATGCCTTTACACTAATCGAAAATGAATGTTACACGTTCATGGAATAATCTGGAGTCCCCATAGACATGAACCGACTGATGAGTGATCCGCGGCCCACCTTGTCCTTCACTGTTCCGAACTGTTGTTTTATTCATTTCTTAAAGTCTTTGTAACCTTCGTGGTTTCACTTTTCACTAAAAAACAAGTAGATAAAGCCGGATTATCTTTAATGTCTAAAATATTTACTTGATTTTCTAATTTATGGTAGCTAAGTTGTACAGGACGATACTGAAACACTTGAAAATTAGTGTCCTTTTTTCCTATTACAATCTTACAGACTAACTGGCAACTGGTCCCGGACGGCCTTTTAATACCCGTAAGTACCACTGGGTATTTTTGCTTCTTTTACTTTCACCTTTGTTTTCATTCTGTCATAATTAACTACAAGTTTTACAATCTTTTCATCGTTGGCCATTTTATTATAATGTTAGATAAAGCTGTAAAACATGGATCGGCATAAAGAAAAGCCCCGAAGGGGTTATGAATTATTTTAATCCTCTCATTCTTCATCATCATGATCAAAGTTCAAGATCTTCCTCTGTTTTGTTTCTCAAGTTCATCAAGATAATATTATCCTTTATCTCTTCTAAACAATCACCAAATAAATCCATTTCTTCGTATTCTATAATTTCTATGTATTTTCTTCCATCCTCTTCAGTTTGTGTTTGATCATCGTTAAAATGAAAGCCACGGTATTTTCATTCTTATTTTCCTATCCTTATATTCCTATGTCAGGATTGTTTGATTTATAGTTTTCTGCATCATAATGAGAAAATAGTTCCCTTTTTCTGCCTTGCTCTTCAATCACTTTGATTAGTTAAAAAAACGGGAAAAACCCCTATCTATATCATTCTGTAAATCATTCAATATTCAACAAAGTCAAAACAAACTGGCAAATGCTGCCAATAGGGAATTTCCCTGGTTATATCACTACATGAGAAATTTCTGCAATTTGATTGGCTTAGAGCAGTGGTATTTCAACTTAATTTGAAATACCTACATGTGAAAATTACAAACCTTTTGCGGGTAGTAGTATAAACAAATAATAGCATGATTTGTACGTGATATTTGGCAAAAATACCACTCGTGAGCTTAAATATGCCGATTTTGGATTAACTCTAAAATACTGTTTTCCGTCATTTTCTTGGTTTTCCCCCAGTCCCCGAAAGGGCCGATGTCATATTCTTTTAAATCTTAGCTTTTTTCACATTTTTTATAATTCTATGGTATTTATGAGTTTTATGAGTTTTTTTAAATTTATGCGAATAATGACAGACTTTAATTAGTCTGAATTTACGTAGTAAATGACAGAAAAAAAAATGACAGACATTAAAGTCATAAAATTTAACTCCTTAAATTCAAAGTTGGGGTAATGACAGAAAATGGATGAAAGAAATAAACAGGAATGAAATCTAAAAAATGGATGACGGGAAAAACCGGGAACATGACGGAAAATAGTATTTTAGAGTTGGTCCAGAGTCGGCATATTTACACTATTCCCTTACTGGGGTTACGGCTGGAGAACTGACGCAAAAAGTAGGTAGGCTTTATGCCCTGGAGAAACTCCTCAATATGTTGATCTAACTTTTGCCGGTCACCATCAATGTACTCAGGCAATATGATGTATGCTTCGTCTGCAAGTTGTCGCCAGCTTTCCTCTGTCATGGCTTTTAGCTCAATACCAGCAGACATCATCATTTGCATCCCTAGGCGAGCATTCTGAATATCGTTTTTTAGACGAGGCGAAGGGAGCATGTTAACATCAACCCTGGACAACTCGCAAAGATTTACAGTGAGTTTAATTCCATGAAATAAGCAGAATAACTTGTAGAAATTGACCAATTCTTGGGCACACTCATCCGTCTTCACTCTAGTTGATCTAAAGCAAGGCTGTTTGTTCATGAACATCTCAATTTTTCCCCCTTTCTGATCTCTTAAGAGTTTCACATGTCGTTTGAACTCTTCATCTTTAAGCATAAAATGCTCTGCATGGATTGTATTTCTCTCTTCACCCTGGAAACAATTTCCATATCTGGCGTGGAATTTAAACTTACCCATTCGGTCAGTCAACCGAACATACACTACAACAGTTCGGGCGCGAGCTCTTGGATTCGAGCTCAGCCGCTTCAAATTCCCGATCTTACACTTCGACTCTTCCAGGCATTTAAAGCTAATTTTATCTCTCTTTCTCTCCTTAACATGATAAAACATGGCGCAAAACTGTCCTTCTGTAACTGCCAAACAATTCTGTCCACCAACTTTGTGATTATCTTTGTGATCCTGCACAATGCTCATTTTATCGCACTCTTCTTCCATTGAAGTACAGTCACCTGGTGTATAAAGTTGTCGATTATCCATCAACTCCACTGTATTCCAGTCAATATATGGTAATCAAGAAGGGGCTTGAACAGAAAAAATATTACTAAGCCCTTTCCTTTGACATTCGGTTAAATATACTGCAGTAATTATGTCATAACTCCCAGAAAAGCGTCTTTTTCCGGGAAAACCGGCGATGACCTACTTTCCAAAAATAGTCTCAGTGACATACATGTGGTTTGTTAGGTTTTGTTTCCAGTCGGTTCTGCAGCTCCTCATATCAATTCATTGATCTCATGGCCAGCTGCTGATATTTATGATCCCGTTTTTTGTAGTTGTGTACTGTTGAAACCCTGAACTCTGATTTCTTTTATCTATTATATTTTCTGACGTTACTTTTCTTTGCATTAGTCCTAGCCTTATATGGTGGCATTAAGCATGGCAGTAGATTGGCATAAAAAACACCATCATTCTTAAAACAAGATTTGTTATGACAGGACACAACAAATATCAAGTAAAGCACTTCCAATGTAGCCCGGAAACCGAATTAAGCTTTTTACTAACTTTCAGGTTCTCCAAGATTGAACGACCGCTAGAAAAAGACAGAAAGCGTACATTATGAGTTTAAGGAAATTAACACTTCAAAGTTTAGCGTTATTTTCATCTAAACTTTTTCACTTTTTATGAAAAACACGTGAAAAACAGCTTGATTTCCTTAACATCAATAGATAAAGAATTCCATAGTTTAGGACCAGTGTAACTGAGAGAACAAATGTCGTATGGAGTGGTATGAACAGATTTAACAATAATACATAAATGAGAAATTTCTTTTTATTTCCTTAATAGTTTTCAATGTTAGTTGCACTCCAATCTGTGAAGACACAGAAATCCAGCATGGCTCAAGTTGTTTCTCAGACGTGATAGAACATGCGACAGAACTGAACTTTAGTAATTTCAAGTGGATTGAAGCCTACAACGTTATGGCTATCCTTGTACGGTGCTTGCTTCATCACACATCATTTTCTTTTCATCAGTTCCACAAAGCGCCAAACCATTGGCGAAGAAATTGGAAAGTAATTTATAAGAATTTGTTTATCCTAGTCCATGTTGATAAAAATATCAGTACCTCATAAGACAAGTAGCAGGAATAAGTGACCCTGGCCTACATATAAATATTTAGAGAAACTCAAACTGTTTCCAAATTCAGTTGTATTCTTGATCGAGATCTTGAACTTAATTCTTTCTTTATAGCGTTTGAACTTAATTCTTTCTTTATAGCGTTTACATCTTGTACAATCAGATTTCGCGTAACGTTATAGCCAATAACAAATTGGTTTACCCGTTCTTGGTCTCCTTCCAAGGTAAAAATCTTGGCAGACTTATCACCAATGTCCGAAACCGCAAGGAGATGGTTATTTAGGGCAAACCAAACGTCGTGAGGTTTAAAAAGATCTTTATCTTGTATTGACTGTTTTGGTACGGAAATCTTCATGTCGAAGAGAAAGTCAATAAAGTTGCATATTTATTCTGCTTTCTGAACCGTGAAAGATGGCTACCCATTGTTGCTTAGGGATGTCAGTTGCCTCTTTCCCGTACTAAAGAATACAATTTTCTTGTCTTCTTAAAAGAGTCAGTTCCCACTGATAAGACCTGTCTCCTTCAAAATCTTGTAACATCCTATCCGCCATTATCGTCTGCACAACATTTCCGGCCATAATGCCGACGACTTTGACATTCAGGAGTCGACCTGAGCACTCAGCATTTAGATTCGATGATTTTCGAGTTACAACTATCATTAAATCAACTTATGAAGGCCACCTTTTCTGTTAAACAACTTCATGTAGGCGACAAAGATCACTTCAGTGTAGCTCCCTCTTTCTCGGAAACAGGCGTCATTTTCCAAGAATGACCTTTCTCAATACAAGTATTTTAGCGGAAATCGCATTAGGGACTTAAGCAAAGACTACGAAAGATTCTAGTAAGGTGACCGGAAGTAATTTTTTGCCAACCATCAATGCCTCAAGTCAGGGATTTTAAGATCCCGCGACAGCTATAGCGGTAAAAACGCCGCTTAAAAGTGAATAATAATAATAATAATTGATGACTTTATTTTAGTGTCAATGTATTTAGCTTAACAGTTAGCTAATTGAGGACACTTTCCTACGTACTGGCACACTAAAATTAATGATTTTACCTAAAACCTAAAACTATATACAAATGTACACGACTCAAAATTTACACAAGACACAGCAGTTACTATTATTATATACTGATACAGTGGGTGAAAGGTAACGGAATTAGTTTTCTTTATATTTAAGGATAGTTTATTAGCGCTTAGCCAGTCACAGACATTAAGTAGTTCCACATTTACAACAGATTCAAGTGATTTTAAATTCCCAGCAGCATACAGCAAATTTGTATCGTCAGCAAATAAGTAAAACCCTAGTTTGTTTGAAGGCTTGTAAATGTCATTAATATAAATCAGAAACAATGGAGGACCCAAAACAGAATCCCGTGGCACACCACAAGAGGTTTTCTCTCTTTTAGAAATATGGGAACCGACCTGAGTGATTTGGGTTCTTTCATTTAAGTATGAACAGAACCATTTATTGAATACACCACGAATTCCATAATGAGACAGCTTATGAAGTAGGATAAGATAATCAACTGTATCAAATGCCTTTTGCAGATCGATGAAAACTCCACATGAAAACATGCCCTTGTCCATGTTTCTTTGAAAGTCTATTTACAATGTCTAACATGGCATGTTCCGTTAAACATCTTTCACGAAAACCATATTGATAGTCGTAAAATGTATTATATTTGTTTAAAAATTTTTTTTAGACGATCATACATAATCTTTTCAAAGATTCTATTGAAGACTGAAAGAAGAGAAATAGGCCGATAATTNCCCAAAACAGAATCCCGTGGCACACCACAAGAGGTTTTCTCTCTTTTAGAAATATGGGAACCGACCTGAGTGATTTGGGTTCTTTCATTTAAGTATGAACAGAACCATTTATTGAATACACCACGAATTCCATAATGAGACAGCTTATGAAGTAGGATAAGATAATCAACTGTATCAAATGCCTTTTGCAGATCGATGAAAACTCCACATGAAAACATGCCCTTGTCCATGTTTCTTTGAAAGTCTATTTACAATGTCTAACATGGCATGTTCCGTTAAACATCTTTCACGAAAACCATATTGATAGTCGTAAAATGTATTATATTTGTTTAAAAATTTTTTTTAGACGATCATACATAATCTTTTCAAAGATTCTATTGAAGACTGAAAGAAGAGAAATAGGCCGATAATTACTAGGAATATAAGGGTCACTTTCATCACCATCTTTAAAAATGGGAATAATTACAGCGTGCTTTAATTTAGCGGGGAAGGATCTTCTCTCAACTGAGAGTCGCTAGAGGTTTAGCTATTATATGCCGCGCTCATTTCAACAGACGAGTGGGACATCCGTGGAGTCAATCTTTTTGTCGAGGGTCAAGGGGCGAGGGTTCCATGTCGAGGGTCGAGGGCACCATGCCGAGGGTAAATTAATTTTTTTTTTTGAAAATGGAAAACAAATGGAAAACAAATAAGAAGAATTTAAAAAACAAATGGCGCGTGGACATCTCCATCCATATTAGTTCCACCTGTTGGGTGGGGATGGGGGGGAAGAGAACACGTTACTTGATAACAGGTTTCTCAATATGACCGGGGACTGCCTAAGAACGTCTTCTGCTCTGTTGACGAGCCACCATATAGTAAAAAATGTAGTAAAACAAGTTTAAAAAACTGATTTAACTGATATATTACTGTCAAAATGAGCTTGGCCGCCTGTGGAAACAGAAATTACAAAATGACAAATAAAGGATATGCGGCTAAATTAGCGATAAAGGCTAGGCCCTAGTTTTTGGCTAGGCGGACCGACCCATCTTCATGAGATGAGACGGGGACCTCATTAATTCTAATTCAATTTCGGTTGACAGGACCAGCTCAAAAACAAACGAGCCATTGAAATTAATTTTGTTGCTATTTGGAATTCTTGATGCGAGTCTAGGCCCTACATAGCCGGCAAAGTTACCGTTTAAGATATTTGCGTGATCAAGTGGGTCCTGAGATAGTTGATCATCATCAAGCCTAATTGAGCCAATTGAGTTTCAATTTTTCTTTTTCCTATTATCTCTCTCTCTCTCTCGCTCCGTAGGGCGGGTAGGAGAGAACCCTGGGAACGAGGTTGTTAATAAGACTGTTAATGCCGTATATTCTTTTTGTATTGTTAATATTGTCTTGAAAATAACTGTGATAGCTGTAACATAATCTTAAATATTAATATAGCTGTTTATTCATATCAATGTCTCGATTTAACGATTCAACAGAGTTTACTTTACAATTCTCTTCCTTACTCCCATGTAGGCAAAAGAAATATAAAAGGGTTGCTCGATCAGTTTTACCTTCTCGGTTTCCTTTGAAAATAGGGTTTCATTTTTCGTTTTGGGGCCTTAAAGGGGCTATGTCACGCTATGCGTGCCGTGCTATGTCACGCTATATGCTACCCTTTCAAAAAGCTAAAACTTTTTCCGCATCAATTGAATTGCAAGCCTAATAGTCCAGTTTCATTATTTACGACTGTTTTTAGGCATTCAGTGAAATCATTGCCTGCCGTCTGTTGCAACGAATGGCAACGATGGACATGTATTAAATCTTGAAAAAGCTGGGCTAAGCTTTTCAAGTTTTAATGCTATGCCTGCAAAAATCACCAGAAAGTGAAATAAATATGGTCAGCGCTACCTCATGATATTTGTTGTTTCTTTACTCGATCCCAAGTCTTTGGAAAAGGGCCAACATCTCACCTGTACACATGAGTGGTGACGAAGAGCAGGTTACCAATTACCGGTCTATTTCACTTCTATCCATCCCTGCAAAGTGTTTGGAAAGGATTGCTCATTCTGCGAGTTATGATCATGTGGCACCTTCCCTCTCTGATTAGCAGCACGGGTTCATTAAAGGAAGATCTTGTGTAACCCAACTTGTCCTAACCTACCATCATTGAGTCAAGTGCTTGGTCGGCAGACTGATGTTGTGTTCCTCGATTTCGCTAAAGCGTTTGATCGAGTACCTCATGACATTCTACTTCAGAAATTATTTAATTTTGGCATGAGTGGTTTCCTCCTAAACTGGTGTGCAAACTACTTCTCTGATCGTTATCAGAGAGTCGTCATTGATGACTAGCACTCTTCCTGGTCTAATGTTACATCTAGAGTTCCCCAAGGATCTATCTAGGGCCCACTCTTTTTGTCATTTTCATCGGTAATCTCCCTGATGTCGTCTATCCTGGTAATACCATTGCCCTTTATGCTGACGACTGCAAAACTTCGATGGTAATTGACAATTCTCAAGGTCACGCATTGTTTTAAGAAGACCTTAACAATCTTTGGTCTTGGAGTAAATTGGACAGAATGGATTTTAACATTAAGAAATGCAAAGTAATGAGAATATCTAAAAAGGCGCAAGCAGTAGAGAGTGATCTCTGTATGAATGAATCACCTCTTAAAGTGGTCTCCGAATTTAACGACTCGTGTCTGCTCGTCGATAGTAACTTATCTTGGAATATCCTTGAGCACAGTATTGTTTCCAAAGCTATCAAGATGCTGGGCCTAATATCTCGTACCTGTACGGGATTTGCCGACGTCAAAACTCTTAAGACACACTTTGCTCTTTTTTTCTTATCTCAGTTAGAACATGGCTCTGTTGTATGGTCCCCGTACACCCAACAGAATATTGATATGATAGAACATGCGCAGAGAAGAGCCACCAGGCTCATTCTCAAGTCAGATATAGATTATGCCTCCCGAGTAAAGAAGCTCAACCTTCAAACTCTTGAGCAAAGACGTTTCATAGCAGATGTCATATTTCTATACAAGGCCCTAAACGGTTACTTGAATGTGGACCTGTCTAAAAATTCGCATTTCTATTCCATGCACCATGCAAGGTTCTGATGATATGAGGCGTAGAAGAGGCTTACCGAGTAGTATTCATAATAGTTCTACTTTGAAGACCTTTAGATGAAATTTGATGCAATATCTTGTCAGTCAGTCTTAATTTTTAAATATGATGCTATACAGTAAATCCCCGCGTATAAGAACCTGGGTTTTAAGAACTTGTTAGGCTAAAAATTAATTTTCATTTTAAGCCCCCTCCACGTACGAAGCTATTAAGGCTAAGTTAGGTTCTGATCAGTGGAACTGGTTTTGAATGTACTCTATTTGTCCCATGATTTTCTTGGTATCATCTTTGAAATGGCATTTCAGAGAACTGACTATGAGTTTGTTTGTTATGTTTTGTTAAGGACATATCTGCACTGTACTGCCTTAAGGCATTACTGTATGTTGTATTATGAGATGATATTTATAATATTTTTAAATAAAATTCATATGAAAATATAAGAACCTATTTAAAGAACCTTGGTAGTCTAAAGTTGCTTTAAGTACCATTTATATAAGAACCTGTTAAGGAACTCAAGGTTCTTATACGCGGGGTTTTACTGTGGTAACATTTATATACAATGCTAGTTACTCAACAGGATAGTGTTTTACATACTAGTATTTTAGTATAATAGTCCTAATTTGAAGAATTTTAAAAGTAATCTGATGAGTATATAAATCTGCCTAAACTCTATGTATTTTTAAAATTTTTTGGGGGGTTTTATTTTCACTCTTGTTACCCTTATTGATGAATTATTATGTAGTCTATTTTTAGGAGATCTGCCTCGTATGAGGTCTGGGACTCTTTTGTGAATTATCCTTATGGCACTATGCTTCCATTCCTTTTTCTTTATAGCTGCAGGTGCTGCCATTAAATTGTGATAAATAAATAAATAATGCTACAGCAGCTTTTTGTGTTTGTGTAAAAGCACTAAGTAATGATTTCACCACAAAATTGATCGAAAACGGCAATAATATCCTGGTGACACAGCCCCTGTAGAGTTAATGTTGAGTACTTTGATTGTGCACCTCAACTGACGGAACAGGTAACTTAGCTAGGGGTTCCATACTCTGGAGAAACTCAGCAATATGTTGATCCAACTTTTGCCGGTCACTATCGGTGTACTCTGGCAACTCTATGTCTGCATAACGTGCAAGTTGTCGCCAGCTTTCCTCTGTCATAGCTTTCAGCTCAATACCGGCAGACATTATCAATTGCATCCCTCGGCGAGCATTCTGAATAATCAAGTCTCGTTAAGTGTTACCAGCCCGGCCTTCGGCTCGGCAGATAACACGTACCTCGACCTTGTCTCTCTTGCAAAAACCTAATTAGGCGACGACGGCGACGGCGACGGCTACGAAAACGTCACATGTGTCAGATGGCTGGAAAAAGGAGACCCGCCCAACCATAATATTGTGAGGAACTCGAACTGTTTCTAACTTCAGTTGTATTCTTGAACCTATTTTTTTCTTTATACCGTTTTAATATATAAATCTTCAGGTAGCATAATAGTTGATAACATTGACTGGTTTCTCCTTCCAAGGTAAAAATCTCCAGTGACAAACTTATCCGGCCGTTTTCAGAAACAATAAGATGGTTATTTGGGGCAAAACAAAGGTCGTGAGGTTTAAAAAGATCTTTATTCAGCTTTCTGGCCACCCATTGCTACTCAGGGATGTCAGTTGCCTCTTTTCCGTTCAAAAGAATCCAATCCGAATGCGTAATAAGGATCTGAAATCTCTTATTGATGATGGATGCATAGGATGTCTTCTGTGTGATAGTTGATGTCTCATCGGAAATAATTTTAGCATTTTAGCACTCAGCTTTGGTGTTTTAGCTAACAATTTGTAACATATTGTATGGATTTTTTATCTACTTAATTATTGTATCTATTATATTTTAACTGTAGGTGTCCCCTACTAGTAGAGGGCCTGCCCCTCGGCTAGTTTTTCTTTCTTGACACATAAATAAAGTTTCTATCTATCTGAAGTTTCTATCTAATTTTCATATCTTCTTAAAAGAGCCAGTACCCCCTGATAAGACATTGCTATCCTGTCTCCTTCAAAATCTTGTAACAACCTATCCGCCATTATCGTCATGTTTAACTACCTGCACAAGATTTCCGGCCATAATGCCGACGACTTTGACATTCAGGAGTCGACCTGAGCACTCAGCATTTAGATTAGATGATGTTCGAGTTACAAATATCTTTAAATCAAGTTATGAAGGCCATCTTTTCAGTTGATCAACTTCATGTAGGCGACAAAGATTTTGCCACTAGGATCACTTCAGTGTAGCTCCCTCTTTCTCGGAAACTGACGTCATTTTCCAAGAATAGGGACTTTAAGATCCAACGACGCGGAAGGCAACGAGGACGTCAAAATAAAAAACAATAGGTTTTAAAAACGCTTTTCTGTACATTTCTCTGCCCGTTTTTGCACGACGTGAACATGCCTAATTTCGCGTTTTATGGAGGACGTAAACAAGCAACGACGAAATTTTATTTCTCTATCTGTACTTGGATATGTTCCCTAGGAATTCAAATCCAGGAGGGTTCGTCTACATTTGACAAAGTAAGTGCATGGGTAGGAATAATTGCGATAAAGACTGAAAGAACGCAAATTCACTTTAAGCGACGTTCTCATTGCCGACGCGCCATTGGATCTTAAAGTCCCTAATAGCACCGTGGTGTGACCTCTGTCATTGCCAGTATTATTGCGGAAATCATATTATAGTCCAGTGGAAACGGAGGAAACGAAAAATTGATAAAAGACTGAAAATACAACCTTGAATGTGTATGAAGAGAAAATCAGTAAATTTGTAATCGTTTTCAGTTTCCGTAACGCGGCCATTTTCTTTCGGGGTTAAAGTTCGAGCCATAATTTTAATCTTTGTACATTTTTTTCCTCTGCTGTATGGTTTTTGTTTTGTTTTTTTAATCATTTTTTTTTCCCTTTGGCTTGTTTCCTTTTATTCACTGCTGATCCTTTACAGCTTTGCATGGATTTTGTGATAACGTATTTCTAGTTTAAAATGGTATGAGAGGATGCTCTGGGAGTACGAGAAGTACCGTCTCATGCAGAGATGGTCAGAGATCTTTGCCTTGAAGGCAGCTAAGGTTATAGAAAATCACATTAAAAATGTCGTAAGAGGAGAAAACAGAGGCTGTAAAGATCTCAGTATCATTGGACCTTGTTTTCTATTAATTTGCTAGTTTGTTCGTTTGTTTGTTTGTTTTCAACATTCGAACATTTTTAACGTTGCAAAAAAACAAAATGATGCGAAAGGTAAGGTCGATCAAGAATGATGATTCAGAATGGTGCAAAGAGGCAGACTTCAAGTTCAAGATGCTTCGGGGTGGGGGGAAGGGGGGCTTAAACTGGGTTTCCCTTTGGCAAACCAGCAAAGTACTGAAAAGTAAGTCATGTGTCGCATAAAGACCGAAAATTAATTTGATCAATTATTACCCAGAGGGGGCAGCATTGGTTCCCTCTATTGGACGGCTTGCTATCAGTTTCCTTGTAATGTAACCTAGCTAGTGTGTACATTATACTAT